TTCAATTTGTTGTTAAGCTTTGAAAACAAGGATAAAAGCTTTATTCGATGACAAAGCAGCCTTCACTGACTCAAGTAAGGTGCCCATCTTTAAGTGGGAAGTTGGAATTATTCTATTTATCCTTCTTTGAGTGGGCAAAATGGTGCGTGTGTTAATGATACTTTTAATTTTTACAAATGCCACAAGGAGATCAACTTGATGATTACACAGTTTTTTTATATTGTTACACTTTAATTTTGTTTTGTGCCTCAAGCACTTGGATAACGGCTTTATTCGATGATAAAAGCAACCGTCATTTTTTAAATATTTTTCATTGTTATGCACTACTAGAAAACTGCCTGATTTTAAGCTCTCTAGTTTTTTTAGAACGAGGCTGTTACGATACATGTAATACATGTATTATTATTTTGATATAAATATTTGACATTTTTTTTTGTCTTTATTTCTTTGAGGTATACTGATGTGGAGAACAAAAACATTGAGGGTATTTTGGTTAATGAAGTGAGGGGGAATTTTGGGTAAAAGAAATGGCCCAAAACAGAGATAAAAGGTAAGTTGTACACTTTTCTAAGTTTCTTGAATTTCTTACAGTGAAACCCCGCCTTACAGCCACCTCGGTAATACAGTCACCTTGTTATTACAGCCACTTTTTTTGGCCGCCTGGCAAAAACCACCATACATTTTCTTGTAAACAAACCCTCATTAATACCGTCACCCCATTAATACGGCAAAACTTTTTTGGCCCATTGATGACCATGTTAACGGGGTTCCACTGTAGTTTCTTGGTGTTGCCGACAAGTGTAATCCCCTAATGACATAAATACAAAAGATGGAAAAGCCACTAAATAATACCCACACCAAAAACAGGAGCAAACCACAATACTTTTAGCAACACCAAGAAGCACTCTTAATTCCTTTTCTACAGACCTGCACATTTAACATGCTTTCCTTTTGCTAGGGGCCATTTTTCAGCACTGGAGTCAGAGAAGTACCCATGCAGATGTGGTAAGGCAGTAAAATGGAAAACTTGAAGAACACAGAGTTCAGACAAGATTCCAATTTGAGAGCTAAAAAGGTAGGTAAAATACATGTACATTATTTTGTTAATGCTTGCAGTGCAAATATTTTTACTGTGTAGTTTAAGTCATCCACTTAGTGATTTATTTAGCCTGTCCTGCAACAGAGCTGTTTTTGGCAGTGCCTGGTGGCCCCTGTTGCATTACTGTTGCTCTTGGGCGACAAGGAAGTCTTAGTTTGTTCAAACACATTCATCCTGGGTACCTGGATCTTTCAGGTTAAGGGCACAAGGCTCTTTCATTTTTTTAAGAACACAACACATGTTTTGCACGTTTGTATTATGCATACATAATTAATGATTGTTATAGAATGCACTAGGGCCACACCCTACCCCCTTTGACATTTTTAATGTTAACAGTGTCCTTTCCATTTATATGCAAGGTTTGATTGTAGTGTAAATTGCTCAGAGTAAAGAGCAAGAACCAAATCTAAAGATTCAAAATAGTTAGGGTGACTATTTTACCAGACTAAACTGTTACTGAAGAACGTAAATGTTAATTAAATGTTTATCATAGTAGTCATGCCACTGTGACTAAATAAGTTTTTTTGGTGTTCAGAAATTGACGAATCACACAGAGGTGTTGGACAAGGCACAACTTTCTCCAGATGACAAAGCCAAAATAAAGGCTTTATTAGACCTACACAATGCTATCCAATTTATGTCTTTGGAGGAGAGTGAAGACAATGAAGAGAGGGCCAATGATCCACAACCCAGGTACATCAGGCCACTATGCTCAGAGAGGTCAAAGCTAAGAAACATCAATGCTGTTCTTGACGCCTTTTGTGAGGCTTGCATGTCAAAGAGGCAAAGAAAGAACAGCCGGGAAAATAACCAGAGAGGTTGATAAATACTTGTCAGACGGACCAGTACCAACTAACTGCCCTTCATGGGCAGGATGCCAATAATATCAAAGTAACAAATTGCTACAGTGATCGCTACTATGGCAACTGGGAGTAATAAGTCCAAAAATGACGCCGTGTGCGTGATGTCCAGAAAAATAATGAGCTTTAGCCGAAGCACAAAATGTGATGGCTTGTACATGAGTATAAAATTCTACTTTCCCCCTATTTTTCACTGGTTTAAAACCTAGCATTTTTTTTCTCTTAATCAAGAAGGTATTTGACACTTCTAGTTCACTGGGCAATAATTCAGTCTTCCCTGCGTTTTACTAACAACGAAACCAAATGAGCGAAAAGCCCTGTAGTGACTTTTGGGTGCCACTTGCATAAAGTTGAAATTTGACGGGCAACAGTAACATACTCTCTTTAGGACTGTAACCACGACCACCATAGTAGAGGTCACTGTAGCAATTTGCTTAAAGTCCCTAATGTATTATTGTGCCTTTAGTCAGGATGATCCTGTGATGATCAACTCTAACTAAATTGCACAATCTTATTGGAAAGTAGCCTCCCACGCAGTCGTTTTTAGGTGAGCTCGTATTTCTTCCCTCCCCACAAACGCCTGCTCAACTGAAGACAACATTCCTTTCCCAAGCTTAGCCAATCACATTGTACTTTCCAAATTCTGGAAAGTTGACCTTGACCGCAAGGTAATCTGATAATTACTCGATCTGCATTAAACACTGGGAAAGCTTTCTGACCTGCAATAAATGTTAGATTCAGAGCGGCAAAAATAAGATTTAGTCAAAATTCAGAATACTCCGTGCACTGCATAACCTTAGTGAAGGAAAGAAAAGAAGGAAAACGGTAACTCTAGGGTCACGTTCACTCGTGTTTAGCCTGTCAACACTTTATTGCACAATTGTTGATTGGTCACTTACCACGCAAATAAAACAATGAGAAAGGAATGTTGTTTTCCGTTGAGCAGGCGTTTGTGGGGAGGGAAGAAATACGAGCTCCCTAAAAACGCCTGCGTGGGAGGGTAATTGGAAAGGTGATAAGAGTTTTATTCTAAAAGTCAATCTTTACTCGACTGTGTTCATTAAAATTGCTGAAATTACAGGACAGTCAATGGATTATCCTAAAACTATAAAACAGGGAGTGTAAGATAGATGCATTGTGAAAGTGAGTCGCTTGTTAAAAGTGTGCAGTTTGTCATTACTATTCAAACTCAGATGTAGGCAAATTCTCGTAGACTACTTTGTATGCCACAGCCAGGTCCAAGTTGTAGCCATGCACTTACAGCAGAGTGGCGACAATAAGTGAGATACATGTGTAGAGATGTTGGCTTATACATTTGTATATAAAGCCTATGGCTAGTTTTGTTTGCATCACTATCGTCGTTGTAGCATCAGCCTGATACTCCCCAATAATGGCCTCTCATCAGTTTGTGTAGGCTTTAACAATAATTTTTGGGGATGATCCACCAAGTACTGGTACTTGCTAATAAGAATTAAGGCAGCAGTTTAGATTTCCTAATGGGATTTTATGCAGTCTTACATGTAACTAAGTAAGACTTTCATTCGTAATAATATTATTTTTCTTATTAAATTATGTAATAATTTTGCCGTGAACTACTTCTTTGAGTTATTTTGGAATGGAAATGCACGTTACTTATAATAATGTCAAACCTCTTTAATACGGACACTAAAGGGACAGAACCAAGTGTCCGCTTTATAGAGGTGTCTATATTACAGAGGTAGGGATTGCATGATTTTTGGCTTTTCTGGGACCAAACGAACTGTCCGTCGTACAGAAGTGTCCATAAGAAGAGGTTAGACTGTATAATTATTATGTTAATCTAATCATTTCAAGGAAAAAATTTTGAATTTTGTCAATTCTAAAAGGATTATTTAATAGGCCATTTCCGAGTTCCCAGGGCCTCTGTTTCAAAACGAGGTTAAGTGCTCAGCCTTTGATATGGAAATCATTTTTCATTCTCGTGCAAATAAAACTCATTTCACAAGAAAGGTTGCGCACCTCGCCTCATTTTGAAAGTGAGGGTTTTTGGAACTCGGAAGTGGCCTATTGAAATTGAAAAGTTACAGTTTTGGATTTAGAAAATAGGAATACATTGTAAGGAGTCTCTTTTTATTGTGAAAATATTTAATAGACATATGTACATATTATATGAAAATGGAGATAGAATTATTTTAATAAAAACTTTAATACCAAAAATGCACCTAAATATGACTCAGCTTGATTTGTGTGTATCAGCGAAAATGGGTCATTGTGGATGCATGAAACGGTCCAGGGTTGTCTCACAAACGTCCACTTTTTTATATACCGGATAGAATGAACATATGATTCGAAACTGGGTGGTTAAGGAAAGTTAACACATTTAGGAAATCCAGTGAATAATCCACCGAAAGCGGAATCTGTGGAAACATGAAGGCTGCAGAAAGTAAACCGGTCAAACTGAGTTTCCGCATTCATTGTTCCGGAAACTCAACGGATAATTGAGTATCCTCTGAATTTACGAGCTGCGGAAACATGACGGCAGTTAGCGTTTCCGCAAGAGTAAACCTGACGGAAACGCGAGTATAAGGGATGCGTTTAAGCGTGTCCGCAGAAACTGAAACATGACGGATACACGTGTTCCCCGTTACAATTCCGTCCGCGGATATTCAGGTTTCCGTTAGATAACCGTTACAAAAACGGAAACGGAAACACCTTTTTTCAACCTGTGCAGGCTAAAGAACTCCCCAATATTAGTTCGACAATAAATACCTTATGTTTTGTTAATTCAATAACTGATAGGTAGGGCCAGTTCTGCTTATATACTAGCTTGGCCACTGAGGGAGCGCTTATTCGGGGAAGAAATAGGTTCTTCAAAGGAGTACTGAGGAGACAGTATATCGTTAATGAGACACGTGCATGGTCATGGCAAAGAACGAAAGGGACTCAGTTACATTGTTACGTAAGAAATAACATTGCTTAACTCGTGGATACAGATAATGGTCTTGCTGTGCACGGTAAATTTAAAATTGAGCCGAACGAGTGGCTAATAAGAAACTGTTCCCTTACGTCAATGCCGGCGTTTAATCAAAGGTAAACAAGCGTTCAGAGAATGAGAGAAGAGAGGAAGTTCCCTTATAACATCACTTAATATATTTAAGACGGTGAGCAGCTGGAGGTGATTGTTATTCAAGGAGACTCTTATTTTTCGGTTTGGCAGGCGAATATTTAGGGGAAGACGCCTAATCAACGTGAACGCCTTTTATTTTTGACATTTAAGGCGTAATAGCGTATAAATCTCAGATTGCGAAAATCTAACTCCGTTCACTGCGTACAAATCATGTTTCGAGTCCATTGCCGTTGGCATGAAGATTTGAAATAATGATAATAAAATATAGCATTGCGATCTTGTCTCACAGAATTATCGGCTCGTCGTAAAATGTTTTAGTGTGATTCACGTTGCCTTCTATAATCGTACGCATGATCTAAAATGTGTGGTCAATTTCATAGGAATCTACCATGGTTGACAGCGTTGTTTTCTTCTTATAGGCGATCAAGTGAAAATATTGCAAACAATGCCTTGCCTCCATTACCAGATGACATGGAAGATCAATTCGATCCAGAATCAGAGGAGAGACAACAGATGCTGAAACCAGAGATTTACGGTGGCTTGTCGGGGAGTGAGGGCGACATAGAACTAGAAGAATTCCATGGTAATGAGCAGGCTGTAGCCTTGGAACTGATGCCTATTGCTCACTCTACAGAAACGGCCGGAAATTCAAAGAAGAAAACTACAATCGTCTGAGACTTGCGCTAAAGTTAATCTTTTTACTTCCAGATTCAATAACAGAGACATTTTAAAAATAGTCCCTAGTTTATCTCTGTTGTAAGATGCTGTGATGTGATCGGCTGTTCAAACGAAACTTTATCTGTAGCACGTTTACATGACTGTATTTGTTTATGTTTTACTGATTTAGTTCGAAATCTTACTTCAGTGACTAGTCCGTCGATGAAATCCGATAGTTTGACCATTTAAATTAAAACCTCTTCAGTAGCGTGTTCACATGAAACTAGCTATTTCGCATGTAGTTCTAACTATTGGTCTCTTGACAAAATTAGATGATGTGACTATCAAAATCGAACCTTTGTAGTAGTACGTTCACATGTATAGTTTATGTTTCGCGCAGTTTTAAATTTGGAATCTTTTGACGAAAACCTACATGTGTGACTATCCAAATTAAACCTCTTCATCAGTACTACGTCATATGCATGAAGCTATTTATGGTGTAATTTTTAAATGAAACTTCTTCAGCAATAACTCGTTCAGGAAAAATAGCCATATGAATGACAACTTAAAATTAATTTGTGTGTGAAAGCAATACAGTCTACACGGAGGAAAGAATCCTTCAAAAACGATTATTAATCGTACTTGGCACATCTTTCTTATCTATAGCTCCAGACAGGCTGAAATTGGTAAATGTGGTCAGGGGCGATTATTAATCGTACTCTATAATAATAAATAATGACTGTTTATTAAGACTCATTGCAGCAATATACAGAATGGCTGAATTACAGAGCTATTTACAAAACATATAATACTAAAGTATAATACAATAAATCCAATAAATACTAGAAAATATAATTGTACAAGCCACTAGGTATACTTATGCGTGACAAACTCTTGCGTGCGCTTGGTCCTACAGGTAGGACGCGTGGAGCGGCTAATGCCAGATCTAAGATTATAATTATGCACAACCTCCTCCTGTTTGGGGAGCATAAAATGCAAGGGGTGATTCTCATTCCGGAGTCTATCAATATAAACCTGGCATAGATGGGCGCGTCTGTCACTTAGAGTTGTTAAATTAAGGGCATTTAATGCCTCGTTGTAATTCATTAAAGGGAAAATGATGCGCATAGCCCTTTTCTGAATGCTCTCAATCTTATAAGATAGAAAATCTGGTATATTATGCCAGACAGGGGCAGCATATTCTAGAACAGGACGAACAATGGTTGTAAACTCAGTAGCACATCTCTATACTTTCTTATCAATAGCCTGCAAACAGGTTAAAACTGGTAAATGTGATCAGAATTAATCGTACTTGGCACATCTCAATACAGTACTTTCTTTCCTTAGCCTTCAGGGGGCGTAAGACTAGGTAGAGATTGTCAAAAATGATTATTAATCATACTTGCCACATCTCTATACTTTCTTATTTGTAGCCTGCAGACAGGTTGAAACTGGTAAATGTGGCCAGGGACGATTATTAATCGTACTTGGCACATCTCAATACTTTGTTATGTATTGCCCGTAGACATGTTGAAATTGGTTTGTATAGCCAGGAACCCTAATTAATCGTACCTGGCACATCTCAATACTTTCAAATCCCTAGCCTGTCGGCCTGTTGAAATTGGTATTTATGGTCAGAAACGCTCATTAATCGTTCCTGGCACATCTCAATACTTTATTATCCCTAGCGTGTAGACGTATTGAAATTGGTAGGTATGGTCAGGAGCGCTAATTAATCATACTTGGCACATCTCAATACTTTCTTATTCCTAACTTGCACCACGTTAAAATTGCAAGGCATGGGCACGAAAGCTTATTAATCGTACTTGGCACATCTCAATACTTTCCTGTCCTTAGCCCGTGGACATGTTGAAATTGAAATGTATGATCAGGAACGCTTATTAATCGTTCCTGGCACATCTCAATACTTTCTTATCCCTAGCGTGTATAGACGTATTGAAATTAGTACGTATGGTCGGAGCGCTTCTTAATAGTACTTGGCACATCTCAATACTTTATTTCTTTGGATATGTTGAGTTGGAATGTATGATAAGGAACGCTTATTAATAGTACCTGGCACAGCTAAATACTTCGTTATCCCTAGCCTATGGACATGTTAAAAATGCAATGTATGGTCAAATGTATGGTCAGGAAAGGTTATTAATCGCACCTGTCACATCCAAAGTTGAAATGCAGATTGAAATGGGAAGGTATGGTTAGAAACGAGTGGTTATCGTACTTGGTATATCTTAATACTCTTCTTCTTTGGACATGTTGAAGTTGCACTGTATGATCAGGAACGCTTATTAATCGTGCCTGGCACATCTCAATACTCTCTTATCCCTAGCCTATAGCCTTTTTAAATTGGTAGGTATGGTCAGGAACGCTTATTAATTGTACTTGGCACGTCTCAATAATTCTTTATCCCTAGCCAGTAGACATGTTGAAATTAGTAGGTATGGTCAGGAGCGCTTCTTAATCGTACTTGGCACATCTCAATACTTTCTTACCCTTAGCCTGTAGGGGTATAGACATGTTGAAATTGGCAGGTATGGTCAGAAACGCTTAACAACCGAACTTGGCATATCTCAATACTTTCTTTCTTTGGATATGTTGAAGCTGGAATGTATGATCAGGAACGTTTATTAATCGTACCCGGCACATCTCAATACTTTCTTATCCCTAGCCTGTAGACATGCTGAAATTGGTAGGTATGATCAGTAACGATAATTAATCGTACTTGACAGACGGCTCGACACTTTCTTATTCCTAACTTGCAGAAATGTTAAAATTGCAAGGTATGGGCAAGAACGCTTATTAATCGTACTTGGCACATCTCATACTTTCTTATTCCTAACATGAAGACATGTTGAAATTGCTAGGTATGGGTAAGAACGCTCATTAATCGTACTTGGTATATCTCAATTCTCTCTTTCTTTGGACACGTTGAAATGGAAATGTATGATCAGGAATGCTTATTAATCGTACCTAGTAAATCTTAATACTTTCTTATCCCTAGCCTGTAGAGATATTAAAACTAGTAGGTATGGTCAGGAACGCTTATTAATCGAACTTGGCAAATGTCAATATTTTTTTATCCCTGACTTGTAGTCATGCTGAAATTAGTAGGTATGGTCAGAAACGCGTTTTAATCATACTTGGCACATCGCAATACAGTTTTATTCCTACCCTTTAATTGGACTTGTTGAAAGTGGAACGTATAGTCAGGAACGCTTATTAATCGTACTTGGCACATGTCAATATTTTCTTACCCCTAGCCTGCAGGCAAGTTAAAATTGGTAGGTATGGTCAGAAACGCTTATTAATCATACTTGGCACATCGCAATACAGTTTTATTGCTAGCCTGTGGACATGTTGAAATTGGAAGGTATGGTCAGGAACGTTTATTAATCGTACTTGACGCATGTCAATATTTTCTTATCCCTAGCCGGGAGGCATGTTGAATTTAGGAGGACTCTGGACACATTGAAATTGAAATGAATGATCAGGAACGCTTATTAATCGTTCCTGGCACATCTTAATATTTTCTTATCCCTAGCCTGCAGGCATCTTGAAATTGGTAGGTATCGTCAGAAACGCTTATTAAGCATACTCGGCACATCGCAATACTGTTTTATTCCTAGCCTGTGGACATGTTGAAATTGGAGGGTATGGTCAGGAACGCTTATTAATTGTACTTGGCACATAATAATAATAATAATAATAATAATAATAACAATTTATAAACTTACGCAGCTTAACATGAGAATGATCAGCTGCGCGTTACAACTGCATTACTTTAAAAGAAACAAATAAAAGATAATGCATTAAAAAATAAAAAATAAAAAGAATATATATGCATGCAAGTGAGAACTGAATATAAAATTGCTCACCAATATAAAGTTTTAAAAAGATAAGTCTTAATATGCGCCTTAAAAACTGTTCACATTAGTAATCGCACGAAGTTCTTTTGGAAGAGAGTTCCAGAGCCTTGGCGCTGCTACCATAAAAGCTCTATCACCTAACGTCTTCGATCGAACAGCTGGCATAGAAAGTAAAATACTTTCTGAAGATCTAAGGTTATATAAGGACGATTTAAATGTTAGTAAATCGCATAGATATTTAGGAGCAAGGCCGTGAATTGCTTTGAACGTAATAAGCAGTATCTTAAATCCTATCCTGGCTTTAACAGGAAGCCAATGCAGACCACGAAGAAGGGCTGAGATCTGGCAAAACCTGGGGGCATTACAAACTAGCCTGGCTGAGGCATTCAAAACTCTCTGCAATTTGTTAAGCTGGTAGTTGGGCAGCCCATACAAAAGACTGTGACAATAATCAACACGAGCTGTAATAAATGCATGGACAAGCATTTCCGTTGATTCTCGAGACAAATACTTGCGAATGCGTTTGATATTATGCAAATGGTAAAAGGCAACACCACATAACTTGCTAATATGAGTTGACATAGTGAGCTGCTCATCAAACCATGAGCCTAGGTTTCTAGCTACTGCTACAGGACAAACAATCAGTCGACCCAACCCTATTGCAATTGATGTTAACCTTGGCCAGCTGCTGCCTAGTACCTATAATTAAAAATTCTGTTTTATCATCGTTTAACATAAGATTATCTGAAATCATCCAACTCCTAATGTCACTGATACAGTCAGTCATGGACTTGATGGCAAAATCAGCATTCGCAGATCGATTGGGGCTGAATGGTACATACAACTGTGTATCGTCTGCGTAGCAGTGAACTTGTGGGAGCTCGAGATGGCGTTCAACGATCTGAAACATGATCCTTGAGGAACACCTTGTTTTAAAGGAAACTGATCTGAGAGACTACCATTTAGAGAGACACGCTGGAACCGGTCAGATAGATATGATTTAAACCAGGCAAGTGCATTGTCAGTTATTCCCAAATCGGACTGAAGACGACCAGTCAGCTTATCATGATGTATCGTGTCAAAAGCTGCACTTAAATCTAATAATACAAGCAAGGTGACATGTTGCTCATCCATAGACATCAAAATATCATTCTTAACTTTAAGTAAGGACGTCTCCGTGCTGTGTTGCTGTTTATACGCCGATTGAAGCTGAGAATGTAAATTGTTGGCAGTCAGATGC